TTATGAAAACTACGAGGAATATAATAGCACTACTTCTATTCTTCCTTACAATATTACCGCTTTCAATATAAAGGTAAGACTTAATATTGATTTCATAGAAGTATCTTAGAAAGTGCTAATTTAAGCATTATTTGTGGTGATACTATAGCTAGCTCCTCTATTTTATTCGTTTGAAAAGGTTAGAAATCTTGTAAAAAACTCTAAATTCATCGTCAAAATATAAAACAATTGCTCATTAAAAGTTATAAACTTTGAGAGGTAAGCCTCTTTCAAAGAGTGATAGTTAGAGCTCTTCTTGGAAACATGGGTTTCTTTTATGTTCTAGCAAAAAAAATTGAATGAAAATTGAACTATTGGTATCGATAGCGCAATTATACGAAATTTTTGGTCTCACGCGAAATTTATCTTATTTTTTACTATAATATTTATTTTATAACTAGATCAGTCAACATTAATTCTTTTTCAAGATTGATATTTCGTGGGAAGATTGGTCCTGTTGCTCGGCATGTTGCTGTTCAGTAGCACTATGCGGTTTATATGCAAATGAAAAGAAATGGTGAGTTTATATTCCATTAGATTTTGTTGGTTTTATTGAATTATCTGCCATTTAACAAATTAATTTTACAGTAACGAAATCGATTCTTATAGGACTAGAAAAGGTCTACTCTCAGTATTTATCTTGGACCCTAATAAAAAGGTATGTGTCTCACCAAAATTTATGAAGAGTAGATACAAAAATTATTTTTCCATATCCTTATATCGTTAGTACCAAAAGAACGAAAATTACTAAAGTCATTGCATCTTTTAGAAGTTACAAATTTTTAAACAAGATATGTGTCAGGTTGAACCTAACGACAAGCTTCCTTTCGAACTCAACAGAATGCTACGCCTTACACCTTATCGTGAAAGGGGCATTGCCGTCTTCTCATCGTTACTATTGCGCCATCCTCGCTTAAGAGAAGATTTCTATGATGCATTTTTAAAGGTAACTTTGTACTTTGTAGAAATCTTTGAAGTAGATTTTAAAGGGTTATTGTACTTGTAGGGCGCAATGGAGTATATTTTTGAAATGAGCGGCCAAACATTTGCTGACTACAACGGCGTAGGTTTATACCTTGAAAAACAAGATTGTAGCGGAATGGAGCAGAAAAAGAATTGTTCGGCATTGGCTGCTTGCAGAGGTGAAATCGTGAGAGAGGTAAGCTTTGAAAAATTAGAAATTTTACGTTATTGATAATTGTCAATTCGTCTGTGATTACTTTTCACAAGATCTTAGGGAATGAAACTCAATACAGATATTTCTAGAAATTATATGATTAAATAGGTTCAGATATAACAAGGTTTTCCGTGATGGGACATTTTGTCTTTTAACTGAGTTTAGCATGACTGGATCTCAGTTCAAAGGGATTTTCAATCATACTGTCGAATTCCATCAAATTCAGCCTCCTCGACCCGCTGAAGAGGAAATCCCTGTGGATCCTTGTGCGGATCTACCTATGATTAGCCTTTCAATAAGTGAGAGTAGTTCTTCGTTTAGGTAAGTAAAAGTTGATGTTCAAGGCTCTTTGAAAAAACTATTCATTTCTACAAAACATGAAGGAATATGGGTTTTGAATTATTTAGTTTTAATTTAGATTTGAGCAGAATACTAGCTACAGACTACGTCTTGATGGACTTGATATGGAGACAATGAAATCGGTAGCTTATTTCATGTGTTCCATTTGATCTTTTGTTTTTCCCAACTTTTTTGATAAAATTTACCTTTGGTTGTTTTTTTCTCCTCTACTTTCTAAGTTTCTATTTTTCCGCTTCATCTAACAATAGTATGTTTTTTTTTCATGCTCCATTCTGTTTTAAACCAATTAAATGGAAAAAACTCTAGGTAACTTGGAAAATTGGAGGCGAGGTTGTTGCACCGTATGATACCTCAAAATCATGTGATCAACAAGG